TTGGCTTTGATGATCCAATTTCTCACATTTCCCCATTCTCCCTCCCCCATTGGACTCCAAGTTCATCTTGCCTCAGGCCCTTTTGATCCCTTGGCATATTGACCAGCCCTTTGCCCTTAGTGATACTGTCCTTCAAATTAATCCCTACCCCCATTCACCCAGCACCTTCAGAAGGGCTCCAGGGTGAACCTCACATGCCTTTTCCCTCACCTTCAGCAATATACTGTCCTCTGGTGTTAATTAGGACTGCTGTTAGATGCAGTCAACAAAATAACCAACTGATTGTGGCCTCAGATATAAGCACCTTTGTTGTTCACTTCACAAGAAGTCTGGCGGGTCTCAGTATTATTCCAGTGGCTCAAAGATGTCTGCAGGCTCCCAAGTCCTTTCTCTTTCTGCCCCACAGCCATGGTGTGTTAGCTCTTCAGTCTCGTGCTAGTTGCCTTCTGACTGGGAGCTGACAGCTGCAGCATCAGGCATTGCATCCTCATTGCAGGAAGAAGACAGGGGGTAGACAAGGTGTTCCCCATATCTGTGCCTTACAGAAGCAAAGCAAAGTTTCCCCAGAAGCCCCTCCTTGGAATTCCCCATACATTCACTGGCCAGAACTGACCCCTTGGCTCCATCTTGCTATGCAGTGGGATGTGAAAGTACGGTTTTCCAGTTACTTTAGTTGGAGCCAGCAAGGGCAGGGGGCTTGGAGATGTTGTTGAGTTAGTCAGCCAACAGCACCTACCACATCTACTGCCCATTCTACTCAGTTGAGAAGTTCCCTGAGACTGCACTTGTCAAGAATTGTGATTGATTTATCTTTTCCATGTGCATCTTCTCTCTTCAGCTGGATTATAAGCTATTTGAGAAGGCAGATCTCATCTCATACCACCTTCTATTGTTAGTGACTCAAATTAGTGGCATGCACTTTTGTTGGCATCCAGGACACTCTCGTTAATGAAGAGGCGTGTAACCCTGACTGTCACAGGGTGGACAACAGGGCAACACACCTGTCCATGGGATCCATGGCAGACACACTTAGGAGGCAGAATTTGTGGAAAGGCCAACAAATGAACACAATGTGTTTGTAGAATGGGAGGCATGTTGAATAGAGGTGGTGTTGCAAAATGCTGTGTGAGCAGAGTGTAAGTTTTCAAGCTTAATGCTGCTTTCAAAACCAGGTTGGGAAGTGTTACTAAATTTGATTCCCCCTGCTTGTGTTCATTCATATGCTTATTCATTCAGCAAAAATAACCCAGCTCCTACTATGCTCATGGTTTTGGAAATTCAGAAATGAGTAGCATAGTGTTCCTGCCCTTAGAAGCCAACAAATAAACATGTTGTCACGTTGCATGTAACAAGGATGATTATACTCTTACTAGTGGCCCGGTGCACGAAATTCATGCATGGGGCGGGGGCGTTCCTCAGGCTGGCCTGCACCCTCTTTAATCTGGGAATCCCTCTCACAATCCAGGACCACTGACTCCTAACCACTCACCTGCCTGCCTGCCTGATCGCCCCTAATCACTCTGCCTGCTGGACTGCTCGCCCCTAACTGCCCCCCTGCCGGCCTTCTTGCCCCCAACTGACCCCCCTTGCTGGCCTGATCACCCCCAACTGCCCTCCCCTCCTGGCCTGATCACCCCTAACCGCCTCCTGCCTCGGCCCCGCCACCCTGGCTTTGTCTGGAAGGATGTCCGGAAGGTCTCCTGAAAGGTCTCCTGGTTTAATTAGCATATACCCTTTTGTTAGTATAGATACCCAGTGTCTCTGACCCTCAGAAGTTCTGAGTTTAAATGAGGGGAGTTTCTGGACCATTGGTGGAGTTTTTCTTAACTTCTTGTGTTAGAAAAGCTGGGTTGGAAAGGGCTTTATGGCCAACAGACTTGGCTGTAAATCCTGGTTCTGCCATTGACAGTGGAACCCTGGGCAATTTCCAACCCTGGTCATCAGCGACCTCATGTTTCCAATTTACTGCTTCTCAGCCCCAAATGCAGCCATCAGCAATGCTCAGTGATGGAATTCTGTTACCCATGCCACTTAAAATAAGCTCGATGTGAAGCATGCTCAGCAGAGGGTGCTGGTCGAACACTGCAGGAGGAAGGCCATTCCTGTCATTTTCAGCATTGCTGGGAATCAGTGGTATGGGTTTGTGGCCATCCCATAGGTCTGTCCCAGCCATAGAGCGCAGAATATGGTCCACCTGTGACCTTGTTACCTTGGCCTTGTGGTGACCTTCCTGTAGCCCTCTACTCAGAATCGAGAGCTCGACATGGCCTGCCCACTCTGAAGGCCTCCTGCCTATACCAACATCCAAATTCTCTCTGGAGGCCCCTGCAGGACTGAGACACAGTCCCCCATGGCCCCAAACACCCAGGACTGTCGATCCCTCTCTCTACCCCACTGCATGTAGCCCACTCACTCTGAAGGCCTTGGCCTCTCCCCTGCCAGTGACCTGGAGACTGCCTGCTCCCCGCCTGCCCAAGGAAGGGTGGTCTAGTGTTCACCCAGCAATTCCAGACCCACTGTGGCCTGGAGCTTCTCTGCTATCCGGTGGCCTGCTTGGACCTTCTCCAACTAGGGTTGAGCCCCTTACACATTGCTCTTCCTTGGTGCTGTCCCTCACCAAGGAAATCCCATAGGGGTTCCCTATGCTTTACAGTTATTCTTTCATTGCAGTTAACTACCCTTTATATTCAACTGCCCTTATTTAACCAGTGTGTGGTTTCTGTTTTTTGATTGGACCCTGGCTATGCACCTAAAGAAGAGATGAAAGCATCCGTATTTCAGATTTATGTTACCAATTAAATGAGAAAGCCCTTGCAAAGCCCAAAGCACACTGCCCTGCTTGTCAGGGTCGCTCCGTTTTCTTTTTGCCTTAATTTTCACAGAGAACAAGGGAAACTACTGTCAGTGAATGCCAGGCCCTTGACAGGATGGTGCTGATGTGCATGTGGTTAGCCCTAGAAGAGGAGACAGAGGGTCAGAGAGGCCAAAGAGATTGCTTGGGGTCATGCAATACTGATGCTCAGTATTGGACAGAACTGAACCCAGTCCTCCAAGTCCACACTCTACCCATCATACTAGGCTTCCTGCCAGAGCCCCAAACCCTCCTTCTTTTCACCAAAATGAGAACAATTTTCCTGCATAACAAAACCTCCTGATGAGAACAGCTGAGCAGCAGGAGAAGCCCTTGGAGTCCTTTCAGAGGGACTTAGCTAAGAGGTCTCCTAAGAAAGGTTTGATTTGCTTGAAAGGTGCAGGTCAGTGGTTTCTCTTTCTCTATGAGTCAGCCTCTGCCTGAGCCCCAAGGAGCTTGTGCTTGGAACTGAAGCTGTGAGCCTTGACAGGTAAATACTGGGCTGTTAAAGCTCCACTTTGAGAAAACCCCATTGGTTGGTTCAAATTAAATTTATGAAATTTCCCATTATCAGCGAACCAATGATATGGTTTGTGGCTTGAACATATCTTCCAAAGGCTAGAAGTCTTTGTTACGTTTTCCCTGATGCTTCCCCGGTACTTAGAACAGAGCTTGGTATCCAGTAGGTGCTCAGTAAGTGTTTGACAAGTGAATGAATTTACACACTCAAGGATTCCCCATATTTTTTTCTTTTTACCTGTGGGACTTCACCAGGCTATTTGGAAATAGGATTTTATTTTAAAAGCAAGAGAGGAGGAGCAAGTATACCTTAACAGGAGGTCGCTGAGGGACTATTTTGTAAACCCAGGCACAATACCATGGCTAAGATGATATATATCAATGACCAAACTCACCCTAATCAAAGCCTCCTTGTCCAGGGTTTTACCCTGTCCAGGTGCCCTCTCTCCCCCACATCAGGCTGTAACTGTGTTGATATGGCAGCAGGCAATAACGAGTGGGTAACATCCCAGCAAGTGACATACTAGCTTTTAACTTGAGCCCTTTGGAAGAATTTGTCCAGGGCCTGGCAGAGAATTCATACATAGCAGCTACTCCATAAATGTCTATTGGCGCTGATGATATAGTAATGATGGCAAGATCTTAAAATAAAGGACTGACATAGGTAGTGGAGATTCAGGCAGGAGAGGAAGGCTAGAGAGAGCGCCATGGTGGTTTAGATTAGACTGTGTCCTTGCACATCTCAAATCACAACCAGGAAGCCACCCACACTTTCTGTGCTTAATAGTTCAGTATAGTTGTGTCATAGTTCATTATAAGAAATCTGAACCAAAATAGCAAACGAAAAGAACATCCTACACGTGTGTTGCAGATATAGAGATGAGACCATGTACACCTTTAACTCCTTCGTACTCTTTAAAAACTTTGCTTCTTATTTCCCAGAGATTATCTTTCTTGTTTTCCCTTTTAATATGATGAGAAAGAAAAAAAAGGATCTAGAAAAAGAGCAATCCATTTTTCTTTTTAGCAACATGAGGATGTGGACTAGTACCTGCCCCTGCATACAGTTGAGTCTCCTTTAAAATAGAGTTGTCCCAAAGTTGGGAATGGATGAGTCCAAACCTTTCAAATGTTGGGTTTTAATGGGTGAAGTTGGGCAAAGCTATCTCACCTGGTACAGGGCTCGTTCCCTTCCTCCTTCTTTCAACAAGCGCTTATAGAGCACCTGCTCGGTGCTAATCGTGTCGTCTCTGCTCAGTGCTAACATGTCACATCTGCTTCCTGCTAGCCCTGTGACAGGCCTTGAATACAACACAGAATGGGAACATCCTGCAGATGGGCATTTTGCCCATGTTGTACCCTCATCACCTGGGATGCTCCCTAGTACACTGGAGCATTAAATAAACACTTGCTGAATCGATGCACACTCATGGAGTTAATAGTCCAAGAAATTATACTAAATTTCTTCAGTTAGCACTTTCATGCCAATAAAATCTGAGTTAGATGAACATCAGGGTAGCTTTAAGGAGGAAATGAGAGGTGAATCCCTGCTGGCAAGAGCAGCACTAGGGCAGTATGGAAGGAGGTGTGTCACACTGCTAGCCTGTGTCCCACTGGCTGTGGGTCTCACCTGTGTTGATGGACATACGCCTCAGGACTCTAGAGCCACACGTGCACGGGAACATTGCAGCTCCACTCTGTCCAGCGCCGGAGAGACTTCTCCTTCCCTCTTTGAGCCCAGCCATCGGTTCCTACTTATTTGAACGGGGCTGCTGCAGAGCAGGTGTCCTGGGGCAAAGGAGGGACACTTGCTGAAAATTAGTGGCAATTCCATTCTTCTTAGCTGGGCATAATTTTCATATGCATTGAAATACTCGATGAGCTAAACGTTTTAAGAGACAAGAGTTTAGTCAAAGAATTTGCTGCTTCCTTGAACAATAGCCAATATCACAGAACATTCAAATAGTACCATGATGGGCCTGGTTGGCGTGGCTCAGTGGTTGAGTGTCACTTATGAACCAAGAGGTTATAGTTGGATTCGGGCACATGCCTGGGTTGTGGGCTTAATTCCTAGTGTGGGGCATGCAGGAGGCAGCTGATCAATGATTCTCCTTCATCATTGATGTTTCTATCTCTCTCTCCCTCTCCCTTCTTCTCTGAAATCAATAAAAATGTTTTTTTAAAAATAGTACCATAATGGGTTCCCTCCTCATAATGTGAGATAGGTTCACTGATTCATTCTTTTTTCTCTCCTGCCTCCCTCCCTTTTTCCCTTCCTCTCTGATGCTCTCTGTCTCTCTTTCTCTTCACAAAAACCTAAGCAGTCCTGGGCACCCTATTTCTTGTGAATTTGGTTTGTGGCAGGCATAAAGTGAGGGAGACTTTCAAAGATTTTAAAACCTGCCTGGGCAGAAATGATTGGCAATGCTGATGGCCAATCACAATCCTATTACTTCATTAGAGGTGGGCTTAAAGGATGGGCTCTCTATTCTTTATTAACATCATTAACCCTCATATCTGGGGACGAAGATTGCTCATTGCTACTTTACAAACACTGCATTTTTCATTTGTTATGCTCATGTGAAATTTATCTTTCTGGAAAGGTACACACAGGCTCTTAGGACTTACTTGAACACACTAGTTAACATTCAATTTATTTTCATCTTCTTTTTTCTGAGAGAGAAAAAAATCATTAACTAATGATTGTCAGGAAGTTTTCTGCCTATGATAGGCATTTGACCAAGGGTCCCCTGGAACATGCAGTTGTTTAAATTTGCATTTCTCCAGGAAGGCTCTAATAGCTAGAGAGACTTTAGGGATTAACATTCAGATTTCTGTCACTCCTGCTGCTCCTCGTGTCCATAATCACAGTCCTCAAGGATTAACACTCTTGTGACTGTGGTTATACCCTATGGTGGGCTCTCCCAGGAACAATTCCATTAATATCACTTTTCATGTTCCTAGGTGCAAACTCAGGAACCAGTCAGGGAGAGACTCTCTCTCAGCCCGATGCCAGCTTTCTCAGAGCCTGCTGGGGAGGAGTCTGCATTTACTGGGACCACAACAGATGCTTTCCCCAACTTTGGAGGGGCTGATGAGGAAAATGCATCATTGACCCAATACCTGGAGATAGAAAGCTGTACTCAAGGCCCACAGCGTGAAGAAAACCAAGACAGAGACGACAACACACCTGGACGTTCCTGGGAAGACCCAGGACATGAGCTGAATCTCCCAGAAGCCAATCATGCAACTATGTCCCCCTGTGAGCTGTCAGTGCATCTCCCTCAGGAGGGCAGTGATGGCCCCAGGGAGCCCGAGGCTCTCTCTGTTGCTTCCCCTGCACCTGCAGATATTGCCCCCACCCTGGAAGCTGTGTGCCATGGGCCAGGGGGCAGAGAACCGGAGTGTTTGATAGAGCGTCTTGAAGCAGGCGACCAAGGAACAGGTGACTCCATGGGTGCTCCTGCCAGAGCCCCGGTTCATAAATATTCACCTCAAGAAATTTTCTCCATGGACTTAGAGCTGGCAGAGGGTCAAAGCCAAATACCTGATTTATGTGTTCCTGATGACAAGACACTGGGTGTTGTTCTTCAAACACAAGGTTCTGAGCCTCCACACTCCACAGATAAAAGCAACAAGGGTGAAGACTCAGTCGTGTTTCCTGTACCTAGTGATGCCCTCGCCTGGGACATTTCACAAAAAGCCAGTGAAGGAGCCACAGGGGAACATCTGGCCAAGGTGGAGCATTCCATCTCCACGCTGGCCTCCACAGGGCAGGAGAGGCCGAGCCCCAGCATCTCAGGGGGGCTTGAGGAGAGACAGCCTCTATCTCCTGAGAAGTCTTTGGTGTGGTGCAAAGAAGGTGATGAGAGCTCCAGCACCAGTGCCTCGGACGCCACAGACACACCAGCCAGTCCCAGCTCAATTGTGACCTTTCCTCAGGAGAAGCCAACAACATTAACTGCTACTCCTGAGTGTCTTCAGGTGACCAGGGAGAATGGGAACACACCAGCTGGTACCATTGCCACCAAAGTCCACTCAGCCAAATACCTCCCTGTTTGCATTGCTGAGAACAGCCATGTAGATGGCCCCGAGGAGAGCTCAGCTCAGGTAGCAGAAGGAAATATTTTTCAACTTCCTTCCAGTGTACAGCGGGGTCATGTTTTAAATGGCTCCACCACCGAATCTCCCAAAGAACTTGGCATGGCTCCCAGTGGACCAGGCGTCCATGTCTGTGCTCCCCCGCCCCCCGAGGGAGATTCCTGCAGCACTGCCCCTCCTCAGATTGGGAACCGGGCTGGAGATAAGAGCCAGACCGTGGACAGAGCAGACCATAGGAGCCTTGGAGAGCATTTCCAAGAAAAGGGAAGTGAAACACAGAGGATTCAGCCGGAGAGCCCGACCCACCAGGGTTCCCTTTCTGAAGATAATTTCCAAGAAAGTTGGCCTATGACATCTGCTGCACAAGGGGAAACAGACCTGTTGCCCATGGACCAGTCATTAGCAAACTCCATGGAGGAAAGAAGTCAGAGCTCAGGACTGGGGACTAGTGTGTCTGTGGTGACCAAAGCAGCCATGGAAGATGACAGTCAGGCTGTGAATAGTGCTCCGCCTCTCTCTCAGAGCCCCCTGGAGGGGTCTAAAGAGAGTGGACCAGCACCTTGGGAAGCAGGCAATAAGCCCAAGACTATGACTGTAGAGGCTCCTGTCTCCGAGGTCTGGCCACCAAGTCAACTGACAGCTTCTGAGTGCGAGGAGTCAGAAGCTGGTGCCAAGACACCTGCCGGGGTCTGGGCTGTGGCTGCCTCGCTAAAGGAAGGTGCTGCTGGGCCTGAACTGGACCCCCCTGAACCCGTAGCATCGGCTGCCAGTCCCCAGGCTGAGGCGGGCTCAGCCCTTGCTAAGGACGGAGAGATCTACGAAGGCAGAAAACCAGCCAGGCGTGCACACTGGAGCTATCTTTCTTCCCGGTACTTGAGCCAACCCCGGTTCCTGGGGTCGTCTGTGGACCCTGTAGATGAAGGTGTCACGGACTGGCCATCAGAGGCTTCCAAAACGGGACGGCAGGAAAATGTTAGCAACGTGAGTCAAAGCCAAGAGGAAAACCAACCCGGCGTGGCTCCCCCTGCCTTCTTTAAACAGTTTCTGCCCCGCCCTGAAATCCTTGAGTCCTCAGTAGATCCCATTGATGAGATGAGTGTGGTGGAGTGGGCCAGGGTGGAAACCCAGGAGCCGTCTGACTCCACCCTGGGGGTTGTCAGAGAGGAGAGTCAATTGGATGCTGGAAGCTTGGGCCAGAGAGTAGAAGTCCAACCCATCATCTCTCCAGGCCCATTCTCCCAGCAAAGTGGGGAAACCATTCCGAGCGAAAATAGCACCAATAGAAGCCAAGACGCCGGTGAGAGAGGGGAGGCTGAACACAGTCAGCATGACAAAGCCAAAGGCGAAGTCCAGCCTGCCGTTTTGCAAGTCCCGTGTCTTGATGAAGGTGGGGTGACAGTCCCAGGGGGATGCAGCGGAAGCCAGGCACAAGAAGGCCGCGAGAGGAGCCTGGGGGAGGCCGAGCAAAGTAAAAAGGACGCGGCAGGTGCCGTTTCCCCCACTTTACCTCTTTCCAGTGCTCCTGCAGTCCTGGCGCAGGCTTCTGTTGGAGTTGACACAGACAACACCGCAGGTCAAATTCATGGTGTCCCTGAGAACCATTTAGTGGAGCCCAGAAACCATCAACATGCATTTTCTGACTCAAAGGAGAAGGGAGAGAGAGAGAGTGAGTGTGGGAAACATTTGCCCTCTCCCAGTGGTCTTACTCAGCTGCCTTTTACTTCATCCCCTGAAGGGAACATAACAGACTTTTCAATAAGCCACAAAATTGAGGAACCTGAAATAGAGGCGCCCCAAAGTGGGGAAACCAAACCCACAAGGGCATCCAGCTCGCCAGCAGTGACTTTGGCGTTGGTTTCGGGAGAACGTGCGTCAGAGACAGCTCCTCACACACTGCAGGACCCATGGCACCTGGGCCCCACCCCGGGCCGTGGGAGAAAGTCAGGGGAGGGGAGGCCCCGTGGCATGGCAGCCCAGACGGGAAGGTCCCCAGTACCTGCTTGGGAGGAAGCCAAGAAGAAGCAAGAAATCACAGGAAGTGCACATTTAACTGAGGGAGTGAAGAGGAAAATTCTGTCCAAGGTGGCTGCCCTGAGGCTGAGATTGGAAGAAAGGGAAAACACCAGAAAGAACGGGAGCTTTCCTAAAAAGATTCCTAAACTCGAAACATCGGTGTCATGCACGGATGAGAACAAAGACCCCAAAAAGCCACCTTGCAAAAGGGAAGGGAAAGGTAAAGCTCCATTGCTCTCTATCCCTGTTAAAGTTTGGGTTTGTTGGCCCGATGTCAGATTCCTGGGTCCTCTTGAGCCCTTGGTAGTTCAGGTGAGTTTCAACCAGGGGGCAGGGACCCCATGGCTGTGACCAAATGGCTCGGCATATAGACCCCGGTTCTCAAACTTGAGTGGCTGCAGAATGACCTGCAGGGCTCCACCCCAGCATTTCTGATTCCACGCATGGGCTGGAGAAATTGCATTTCTAACAGGTTCCCGGGGGATCTGTGGGGAAAGCCTCGCCTATAGCTGCCTGTACGTATGTTTAATGGAGGGAGTGTGATGAGGATGCCCTTTTGTTTAATTACCCGTTAAAACATATTTGTAAAAGATAAGCTGACGCATGAATCAGTATAGCCAATTAGTATAATTAAATAAACCACATGCTGAGCAGGATTTCCAGAAATAAACATTTAGGTACAATTTGGAAGTCTTCTTTCATCATTGATTTTCATTAAAAATGGCTTCACTGAACATTGGGTTTCCTTCCAAATTTGAGTCTCAAAATTTCTTTCCAACTCACTCTTCGCTTTCTGAGTCTAAAGGCCCCAAGGGTATGTGTTCCCGGTTTCAGACCCCTGGAGGCTCAGAGCCCCTGTAACTGCTGTGACTTCTGCTTGGCCCGGGGAATCACTTTAACCCAGCCGTGGGCAAACTACAGCCCGCGGGCCGTATCCTGCCCGTTTGAAATGAATAAAACTAAAAAAAAAAAAAAAACTGAACCCTTTTTTTTAATGATGTTTACTTTGAATTTATATTAGTTCACACAAACACTCCATCCATGCTTTTGTTCCGGCCCTCCGGTCCAGTTTAAGAACCCATTGTGGCCCTCGAGTCAAAAAGTTTGCCCACCCCTGCTTTAACCCCACATTTCATCCTATAAGCCGACTTTTAGCCGCTTTTACATCAGAACTCTTCTTTCCTTTGCTGTGCAACCTGGCAGAAGTCAGAAGAGGAGATATTGCAGCAGGCGAGGTCCTCTGTGGATGGAAGCAGAGCCCTTTGGCCCCCTCAGTTCAGGGGAGGGGTTCCCCTCTTTCCCTGCCGAGTCCTCAGCCTTCTAGGCGGTTCTTGTCGTTCTCCATCCAGATTCATGGGCCCTTGGCCCTGTTTCAGAGAGAATTACATATAAAACTACCTTCTGAAGAGTTTGGAGGGCTCCATCCAGGTTGCTAGTATATGTGTTTTTAAGCACATTTTAAGAGAATGAAGCAATGTTTTCAAAGATCTCTAAAGTGGGTTTACCCCAGACGGAAACAATCTATTTGGAATGCTTGTCCATGGTTATTTAAGTTACCCACAGGGAAAAGGACATTCTAGTAACCACATGCTGTTGGGGACTTTGATCTCTCTCAGCTGCCACAAGCCTCCCCGAGCTCAAAGGGTGGCAAAGATGAGGTACAGCATTTGGGGAGGGGTGGTGCTCTCCCTCCCTGACCTGGTGAGGTAGACTTGGGGGTGGGGATGACTCGGATGATTCTGAAAGAAATTAAACAAACTGAGTAACCTTTTTACTTTGGACAACTACTCTCCCAGGGCTCCTCTTAGCTGCTTCCACACAGACAGGGCTCCTTTCCAAGCCTTGAGGCCTCTTGTCCAAGCCAGCTTTGCATCTCCCCAGACCCTCATGTAATCCCACTGCTCATTTTATGCCATTTCCTCTGTCCCCCAATTTTCTCTGCTTAGCTGCTTCCACACAGACAGGGCTCCTTTCCAAGCCCTGAGGCCTCTTGTCCAAGCCAGCTTTGCATCTCTCCAAGACCCTCATGTAATCCCACTGCTCATTTTATGCCCTTTCCTCTGTCCCCCAATTTTCTCTGTGTTCAGAATTTACAACAGGTGGTGGAGGGGTTGGCAACTTAGGAACCTTTAGGTCTCCACAGATCACCTGTGAAAACTGCCATGATGTTGGAAGGGCCCTTGAAGAAATGTGTCCCAGATGAGGTGGGCTTGGTCAGGACTCTGGACCAAGAGTTTGAGACTGTGTGCCTGAACACCCAGCACAGCCTGTAAATATGAAACAGCCTGCAGCTATGCCCCCCTGTGTCTGTTATCCGAGTGTCTGTTGGCATCAAGGAGAGATGAGAGGCAACCTTAACGCATCGACTATTACACAGCAGTAGAATTTGTGGGAACAGAGCAAACAGCAACAGTATTGATGACTTTCATCTTGGCTGTGGATTATGTATTTTACATCACAAAGCTGTGGAGTTGTGGAACTTGCTCTCCAACCAACAGACACCACATTTCCAGCAACCCTACTGCTTACCAAAGGATTGCCACCACCTGGCTGGGTCAGCTATACTTGTCTTCTTTAACCTAATGGTTATGCTGCCCTCCAGTGGCTGCCCTGAGTAATTACATATCTGCCCGGCTTGAGATCTCATTCCTGATTTTAAAAGGTGATATTCAAAGGTCTCAACTCTGGGAATCATTTCCTTATTGCTCCTGTTTCATTCACATCAGACATAACAGAAATCTTCAGCAAAAACAACAGTAATTAGAGGAAAGATGAATGCGTTACTTTCCAGCAAATAGCTATTATTGAGTTGACATCTGAGGGCTGGCTGAACCACAATTATTGGGATGATCCAGATTTTATTTTACTCCCTAATCCCCAGATCTGATTTTAACTTGGACCATCCAGTAAGCATTTTTATTTGAACCAGGTCCTATAGACTAGGTATCTGAAATCCTCCTCTCCCTACTCCTCCCCCCGCCCCGGAAGGAGGCTTTCTGCTTATGATGGGCACTTTGACCAAGGGTCCCCTGGAACATACAGTTGTTTAAATTTGCATTTCTCCAGGAAGGCTCTAATAGCTAGAGCGAGTTTGAAAAAATGCCTCTCAAGTTATATTTCACATCTGTGCATTACAGACCTGACTCAAGGACCATTAAGTAGTGAAAAGTAATTAGGTTGATTTATTCATTTTCTTAGTGTTTAGGCAAGCCACATCTCCTCTCAGACACTGTTTTCTCATCCACAAATTGAGGGTCATACCTATTATCCTTGTCTCTGGATATTGTTGTAAGAATTAAGTGAGATGAGATGAGAAAGTCTTTTGCCCACTGTAGAGCTCTTTGCAACTGTTATAAGAATGCTGACCTGATCTCTCACTTCTAGCTCCAGTATTACTGAGAAAGATCCAAGCCGAGATGTTTCCTGACCACTCTGGAGATGTAAGATTAAGCTGCCAGTTTGCAGAAATTCATGAAGATTCTACCATCTGGTGGACAAAAGATTCAAAGTCAATTGCCCAAGTTCAGAGAAGGTGCAGTATTTGCTCTTGGATACTTTTCATAGTTGCTGCTTATATCACAACATAGTTCTAAAATACAATAATAATATGATGAAATAATACATTATAGGAAGTAAAAAGGGAAATTGGAGTAAAAAATCCACACCCAAAGTATCCAAGAGATGTAAGTAATGGAAGACAGGTGTCTGGACAGGGAAAATGGTGGTGGGTTCTTGCCCTGGCTCTTCCCCCATTGAGTTCCATGGCCTTAGGAAATCATGAAACCTTTCATTACGTTTAAAAGTGTAATTTAAAAGTTTTAATTAAAATTTTAAATTCTAGTTTTTAGAATCATTACATTTAGGGAACCACATCAAATTATCTCCTAGTCTAAGGCTCTGTGATCTGAAGATTTAAGAGCTGTCTTCTGTATGTTTGTGAATTTTGCTGTTTTCTGTTTCACAAATTCCCATTAACCTGACAAAGGTCAAACAAAGTGAAGAAGGTGAAGCAAACGGAAAAGACAATCCATGCAGTTGCAAAAAAGTAGCTGCGCCTCAGGGGTCTTTGCTGTTTATAAGTGACTCATGGCTGAGAGCTCTTTCAAATAGCGTACTTCCCTAGTGAATACCTTCCTTCCATCCAGCCATCCAGCCATCCATCCAACTGCCCATCCACCAGCCAACATTAGACTGTTCTGAAGATGACATGAAATAGACCTTTAAGTGATTAGCACAATACCTGGTACATACCAAGTGCTCAATACACATTAGCTATTATCGTCCTCCTCACCATATTCATGAGTTTTTCTTCTCCCTTATTGTATCGGGGTTTATATTTGGGTTTAAAGTTTTCAGGTTTCCTTCGAGCACAAGTCATATGGATTAGTAACATAACTGAGGTGAATTCTGATCTGAAGTTCTGATGAGCTCCCAGAATTCATAATTCTAGTTCTTTGCATTATTAATAACAGTCCACCCTCCCATATGTTTCTATGCATTAATATTGCATATGGGAGTGAGAGTGTTAAACCAAAGTTGTACTGATCATCCCCTACAGGTGAA